AATGGGTAGTCCAGCTCACTCTGAGAGAGATGTTCTGCCATCGCTGCTCTCCTGATGGGGACAGACACACAAAGCCTGTCCGTCTGACCCACAGGAAATGGGTGAAACAAAAACACAAAACGAGTGACACACATTATCAACGAAAACCTACCTGGAAGATCCTCAAAGTGCTCGTTGTTTTGGAAGGAAATGTGGCTGTTTTTACTCTAGAGTAATATCAAATCGCGTAATTTCGCTGCCAAACAGAAAAGATGTCGGTGGTGGAGCAAAAGCCGGGATGAAACAGGTGCTGATGGATGATCAGAGACGGAGAAGAAGCATCTCTGTCCGGATTAGGCAGAAAGTTCAGGAGAAAGACGCGTCATCGAGCGGCTTTTAATCGATGTGCAAAAACTGACAGTCTGAAACCTAGTCAGTGTAGTTCCGGGTTGAACCGCAGCAGCAGGGGGGCGCTGTGGAGCTGCTGTGATATAATGTACCGGTACATGTTTTTTTGGGGGGGAGAAAGTATGGAATCCTTGAAGTGCCAAAATAGAAATTAAATTCAAAAGGCACAACATAATAACATAACAATAAAAATAATGAAATGTAAAAAGATCTTACACTGGAATCCGTTTAAAGTGGTCAAAAGCCAATTTGAACACTATAAGCGGTTGATTACTATATCTGAATTTACAATTATTTAATTTATTTAATTATGCAGAATATCATATAAATGCAATTTGTGTGGTTTTTCAATGAGAAAAATGAAATGAATCTGATAGCTTCCGCATTTACTGAATTTTATTAAAGCACCATGCGAGTTTAATGACAGTATACTGCGCTGTGCGCAGACATAACTCTGGTAGCCTGGTGCTGCCAGTTCATTTTTTTTTTTAACAAGTCTGAAGTTTGAAACAAACGGTTTCATAGAACAACAACATAGAAGATAACTGCAAAGGCTACAGAAAATTAAAGCTAACCTCTCTCTGTTTTGTGTTGCGGATCTGCTGCGCCGCATTAAGAAATCACTTCACATATTTATCCATGGTTGGACAACACACTGATTTATGGATCAGTGTGATGTCCAACACCGAGTTCTCTTTTTTTTCAAAATTATGTAAAAGGTCAAAGGTTTTGAAACCAACATGCAGAAGACCAGTCTTAAAAATGCAAACTGCATTCATCATCTCAGTTCTGGAAGGGACAACAGTCCTCCCCCTCGCTGTGCGCAGCACTGGTACGTGCACCAAAGCGCTCTTGTACCTCCATGATGATGTCCTCATCACAGGCTCTGACACCGAGATGCTGTTATCCCTTTCAATCCACTTAATAATTATTTTTGCACATGTTTACATTCATAAAATGGCCAAAAATGAACACTATAAGCAGATTTCTTGATTACTATAAACTAATTATTTAAACAGCATTTGTATGGAAATGATTCTGTCCCAAACCTTTTGAACACTATAAGCGGTTGATTACTATATCCGTGACCGCTATAAGCCCATTCCACTGTATAAATAAACATATTCCCTTTCTAAAAATTTGACAATAAACTATAATTTAAGGCCTGAGGAAAGAACTATCATATAGCTAATATGCAATTACTTTTAAAACACCCTGTTTATTATATTTGATACCCAATAGCTGTGTGTGTGTATATA